TGAGGGTACTATAGAACCATCTAATTTCCTTTGTTCCTAATTAATGTGACAAAGAGCTAGATAGACCACTGCAACTGGATTCAGCAGAGTGTTCTTACTAAAAGGCCAGGATTACAGTGTAAATTCAGAAGCTGCTCTTTTAGAGCCCACAGAGAGCTTCAGAACGGGGATGGGCATCCAGTGTGGAGACAAGGAGTGCTGGGAATCATTTTCCAGAATCCACAGCCATTTCACCCAATCCTTCCCAGAGTCTAAAGTGATCTCTGTTGGGAACAAGCAGAGGAGAGAAAAAGCTAAACAAACAACACTCCCCAAACCCTAAACAAGGCAAATCATCTCCATTAGGTTCAGGGTTGAAATGCTGAGGAAAGACCCAGTTTCCAAGTGGGGAGCAGGCTGCTCTGGCAGGCAGGACAGCATAAGCCCATGGTCCATTCCCCATGCCTCTCTGACACACGCAGATGGGAGAATCTCCAGGCACTACCGTCTCTGGGTCACCTAAATCCCAGGACCCAGCACAGAGCCTGGAAAGCAGGGGTTCAGAAATTATCCAAAGTCAGGTCTCTCCTCGGGTTCATGGCAGAAGCCCCAAACCACAGGTTTGTTCACTGAACAACTTGGAGGAGCCACATAATTCATTTGTTTGCTTTTTATATCTCCCTCCCATGCCAGGGAGTGTAACCCGCTTGTGCTGAGCCAAATATACACCCACACACTCTCACAGAATGCACGTGCTGCTGAGCAAACAGGCAGTGTGACATCCCAACACTTACAACCTACTGCCAGAGTTATATTTAAAGCATTTTTTTTCTTACTCCAAATCTTACCTATCAAATGTTGGATCCTGGGTGAGTCTCTTAACCTCTTTGGGCCTCAGTTTTCTCATTTGTATAAAGTAGAGAATAGTACCTTCTTACAGGGCTATTTTAAGAATTCGAGATGATGTGTGTAAAGTATGTAGCCTTAGCGATATTTCAAGGATTAAATGCTATCAAGCATGTGAAGGGGTTAGAACACTGTTATATGTCAAATAAATACTCAATGTAAGGTAGCATTACTATTTCCTTTCAAGCTCATGTTTACATATTAAGCATCTCTCGTTCTGGCAAAATCCTTTGCAGGACCTTTGGATGCTAACTCAGCTCAACTGCTGGCCATTTGTGAGCCTTTCGACAAGTCACTTTACCTCTGAGCCTGATCTCCAAGAGGGGTGGGGACTTGCTTCCTTTCTCCTACTAAAGAATTGATAATCTAAAGAACAATTCTTCTACAGTCACATGCTTGCAAAAATGTGCTAGATGGTTCTGAGGAGATCTATGTAATGCATGTTTCCAAAAAAATATATCTGACCCTTAAACAACACAGGGGGGTAGGGGGGTTAGGGGTGCTAACCCTCCTCACCTGCAGTGGAAAATCTGTGTATGACTTTTGACTCTCCCAAAACTTAAATACTAATAGCTTACTGTTGAGTGGAAGCCTTACAATAACATACACAGTTGATAAACACATCTTTTGTATGCTATATATATTACATATATTATATACTATACCCATACAATAAAGTAAGCCAGAGGAAAAGAGTTTTTTCCAATTGTTGCAAATCTCCAAAAAACTTTCCAATAGATTTATTGAAAAAAATCTGTGTACAAGTGGACCTGTGCAGTTCAAACCTGTGTTGTTTAAGGGTCAACTGTATTTGTTTTTTAAAGATAGGGAAGTTGTTTGCAGCCATCCACACTACTCATTGGGGCTTACTTAACAAATCCTGTTCTTTCTCTGCTTTGATGCTATGTCTACACCAAGATTGTATTCGCCTTGAAGATGCAGGCCTGGCCTTGTCCTCCACTTTCCCTCAATATTTGCATATAGTCACATTACATCTCCCTTAATAAAGAGAAAATTAATATTTGTTAACAGGGAATCATTATCTGTGGGCACCTTCTACTAGCAGCCCAGAAATGAATCATGCAAGTCCAAACAGCATTTGTGCATTTAAATTTGAATACAGAGGCTACAAATTGCTTGTCCACAGGTCAACTACTGAGTTTCGTTTGGCCTGCCTACATAATGCTTTAACACTTTTTGAGCTGGGATGCAACCTTTAAAAATTGGGAGATTTGGCATAAAAAAATCTAGATTTCAGTTTCTACTGAATAATTGGAAGATGTGGCAACAATCTGGGCTTCAACAATTAGCAGTAGTTGAAGAAAAGCTGCCCTTTAGCTCACTACAGTCTCTACTACTCCCTCAGGGCTTTCCAGAACTATCCTTGAATCTAGCTGTTAATCATTAACCTTCAGTCTTTAGGAATTCACTCGTGGTTTGCCTGCATCTACACTGTACATTACATTTAAACTAGGGTGTTTTGCATGAAGCCTTCCAGAGGTGAGAGAAGGAGTGGCAAACTTGATGAAAGTTTGCATACATGTACTAGATGGTTCTGAGGAGTTCTCTGTAATGGATGCTTCCAAAGAAGATATGTTTTTTCCAGATAGGCAAGTTATCTAGTGCTTCATGGGAATCAGAGCAAAGAGATAAATCTCAGGTTACTTATCAAAGCAAAAGGAAGCAGAAGTAAACAGTGGCCTGAAAGGCAGAAAAGCAATTTAAAAAATTAATAAATGATGAGACTATTAACAGCACATGAAAAGGGTGTGCTTTTTTTTCTCGCCTTTAATACGATTTTTACCTTAAACACTGTGTCCCTTTAGGAAAGGGGAGAAAAGTTAATAAAGGAACCTATCACTCAAACTTAGTTTTTAGTATGGCAAATAAACTGCTTTAATGAAACGGATGAAATCCCCAGGTTTGCACATTAAATTTTCATTCGTAGTAGAGAATGGAAATTATTGATTCAGCCGTGGCATCATGCTTTTTGAATTCTACAGCGCCTCGGAAGCACATGTTACTGCTCGGTGCAAATGTGTTGTCAGCTTTTTGATGCAGTTGAGCACAGGGTGGGTGAGGGGAAGGGGAAAGGGATATAGAAAAAGGAAGGAGGCAGATCAGGCTTCTCACAGAAGGAAAACATTATCAATGTTCCTATCTCTAAGATCTGTTTAGACAAGGCATTACTTCTGATGGCATGATGGGCCAAGGGGTGCATTCTGAGATCAGAAAAGCTGGGTTCACTAAGTCTTTTGGGAAATTCCAATGGCTTCACGGAATACTTAAAAAAAAAAGTAGAATTTATGGCTGTTGACTTGATGTTAAGCTCTTGGGAAAGTTTGGGTTTCAAGGAAACTGTAGAGGAAAGAAAAGTACCTTGTTCCATTCAAGGTCAGGGTGTCCATCAAGGGAAGAATAAATGTCTGACATTCTCAGGCTGAATTAGGTAACAGAAAAATCAATCTAACCCACAAGTATAGTTTTCAACCTGGTGTGGCCTCATCAGAGGCCCCATCTTTACTTAAAGCATAAAAATAGGTCTGTTTTTCCCTTGATAGGAATTAATCCTCCTGTCTCTCAGAGGCCTACCTCACAATTAAACAACTCATTTTCCCCTTAAAGAGATCATAGGGATTGATTTTAAGCTGAGACTGAGGCAACCTTGAATCAAGCCATTTTGGGGTCTGTGTAGCACAGACTGTGTGAGATTAGGAAAGCAATCATCTTTAGACATAAGCTAAACTCATCTGCAAAAATAAAACTGCTTTGAAGGAAGGAAGGAAGGAAGGAAGGAAGGAAGGAAGGAAGGAAGGAAGGAAGGAAGGAAGGAAGGAAAGAAGGAAGAAGGAAGGTTGATAATCACATAATATATTCCAAAAAAATTCTGTTTTGTTTTGTTTGTGTCTTCATTTTGATTACCTCCCAGCTAAGATTATCTTATATCAGTAGTCTCCTCTGTCCGTCTGGAAATTAGAAAAGTAGTGCTATTGAACTAAAAAGTTCTGATTTTGTGTTTTCGGATGCTGAGAGCTGGTGCCATCTATAGATTTTCATTCTGGGAGAGGTTTCTCTTTTGTCTTATTTTGCGTCAGACGTGCTGTCGTGAGGATAAGAGTGCCCAGGAGACGCCTCCCTGTGGTTTAACAGGCTATGAAGGGTGGGACTCATTAACCAACCGGCTGGCAGCTGCCCCCAAGCAGGATGCTGCCTGGAGGTGGGGGAAGGAGGCGAAGGGAAGCTGAGGAGGAGGTGGCAGCTCCATCCAGGAGACCATCACTGGCTGTTGGAGAGGCATCTCAAAGCAAACACCACCACCTCCTGAAGGAGCCCCATAAGGGGAAGTCTGAACCAAGAGAGGGCCAATCTAGCCACAGAAACCTCCGTCTGGAGGAGCAGATGCTGGGTAATTGTTTTTCGTCTTCAACTTAACCCCTGCTGAGATATTATCTACTGGTCTGATTATTTTTGGATTGCTAAAATGTTACCTTTTTCTGTCATTCCTTTACTATAGTCCCCTCAGTTTTATAGTATCTGTCCTTATTACACTAGTGTATTTATTTATGATTGATTTTTCATAAATCAAGTGTTGGTTGGGAGGTTTCCTCCACCTTAAGTAATGCCACACTGCTTGACCTGGAACACGAGGGGCCTGTCCACCTCCCATCCTCATCTTTTCATCACCTTTCCACCCAAACTTAGGCCATTCTATTCTATACGCTGTTCCCCTCTCACAATGTTACGTACATTTTCACAGCTTTGCATGTGCTGTTCCTTTGCCTGAGGCAGCTTCCTTGCCTCAGTTCCTCCTGTGACTTGGCTCTGGCCATCTTTGCAGACTCGGGCTCATAGGCCTTCATGGTGGAGGGGTGGTTATCCCTGACACCCCATCTGCCTCTGGATTGGGTGTCCCATAGCTTGTGGTCCCTTCCCCCTACTCAGCTCTCCCCTCACTTTGCTGTAATGATCTGTGTTCCCCACTTAGTGGACAGTAAACATCCTTCAAATCAATAAAGAACTCTACTTCCAGCTCCCTCACACCCTAGATTTATTTGACCAAAGGGATGACTTTAACTAGGGCCTCCTGAATCAGGAGCTGGCATATCACCTCTTACCTTTATGGTTTTGGTCTGGAGTCTGAGTCCATTTAAAGTGTTGATGGCTTTCTCTGCATCCTTTGGATCAATATAGTTAACGAATCCATACCCTAAACTCTGTCCTGTGGAAACATTTTTTAAAAAAGAGGGAGAGAGGGGGAGAGAGAGAGAGAAAGAGAGAGAGCACTCAGTATCTTTACAGCGTAACACTTCCCATCGCAGTGAGTCAAAGCCCTCTTCTGCTGTATGGCTCCTTTTACATCAGGGTTTACCCCGAGGTTGAGAAGTTTCCAGTTCTTCCATATCTCACTCTGATCAGCCTTTCAACTCAGAGGAGCTGCCCAAGCTGGGAATGGGTCGGGGCCCCTTCACATGCACACCAAATGTACACAGGTGTCCATTTAGTTGGGAAGAGGTGGGGCAGGGTAGTGGAAAGAGAGCAGGTATGGTTTTGGGAGGAGATTTGAATAGGAGTCCTGGGGCTTTCCAGATCAGCTCTGTGACTTTGGAGAAAAGTAATTTAATCTCTTGTTCCCTTCCCCCACCCAACACTTATTCTCTGGAGATAACTGTACTCCCTTGCCACAGACAGGCTTGAGAGGGTTAATGAGATATTATATATAAAATGCTTACCAAGTACAGTGCCTAGAACATAGTAGCTGCTCAACAAAATATAGCTATGCTATGCTCAGTCCTGTAAAATTGGGGCAAGCGCTGGATGCAGTAGCTGTGTCTGCTGCCTCAGTCTTGCCAGCCACATCCACACTCAAGAGGAATGTAGCAGGAGCTGAACAGCAAAGACTGGAGACGTTTATAGTAAAGGCAGGGCCAGCATTTAAAGAAGTTGTTACAAATCATTCCTTGCACTGAGCATCCCCCCAGCCCAAGAACAATAAAAAGGAGGGGGTTCTATTGGAAAGAACTGAGGAGCTCCTAACACAAAGGGGAGAGTGAAAACACATTCTGCAGAGAGGATATAGCTACTTTCAGTGGAGATGGCATCAACTTGTCTGCAAAGAGAGGTAGCAAGTGACAGGGCTCCCCCCTAAGTGAAATAAAAATAATGTGCTTGTGATCGTGCCACTGATTATAAATAGTCCATCAGCTCTGCCATGTGTCATCAGCCAGAAATATCATTAGGAAACTTTACATTTTTTGACATACCCTTTAAGAAACACAGAGCTTAGGGTGGCTGCAAAACCAGCTTGAACTTCCCAGGCAATGTTATTGATTTGTGGGTGGCAGCAGAGCTGAAGGGGAGGAAAATGACAGGACGTCACATGTCAGGGAAGACTGATTACATAAAGCTCTCTTTGGAGTACCGGGGCCAGGGGTGGGAGACAATACAGCAAAAGCCTGCCATGTCCTGGTGACAGGAGCCCATTTCAGCAGCCAAAAAATCTTTCCAACAGCTTCTGTTTTGCTGGTAAATGTCTGTGTTTGTGTTGGTTGTAGGAGGGAACCTGGGAAAACAAGTTGGGTTCTGGATCAGAAAACGGTGACTTTGTTATTTTTTATCCAATAGAAGCAAAGAGAATCACGAGGACACTCAATTGTATTTTTGTCCCCAAAATGGAAAACTCAAAGTGGCAATACATTCCATTAGGCTATTACTTTGTCATTTGGAATAACAGGGTTAGAACAGGAAAGACAGGAGTAAACCTTGCCGATATGCCCTTCCCCAGCCAGAATTAGCAATGGAAGAAGGAAGAGAGAATGCTGAGCAGCCTACAGATGCTGGGACCCTTCTCTTTGCATTTCACTGTGTGCGTACGCAGTTGAGTAAGAGTGTGAGAGAGAGGTACGTGTGAATTGCAAGACATGTTCTGAGAAACATTTGCAAATCCAAAAATACAAGAGATTAATTTCATTGGTTTAAAAATATCGTTTATCCTAAATTTGGCTCCACCTCATCAAGCCTAACTAAATTCACCTAATGGAATCCATTTTCATCATGCAAATTAATCAGTATTATTTACCTTGTATATAAGAGAAGACTTAAAATTGCTGTACTAAAATATTCTTACAATTATTTCTTTTAAGCAGTCATGCACTCAGTTGAGTTGCTTTAAAGGGCACTTTTAAAGCAATAATCTCAATGATAAACCTTACGTATGAATTCAAGGAAATGGGTCAGACAGTCAATCTAGCCAGCTAAATAAAATCTGTGGAAAATTAGAGTGAAATATAAAAGAATATAGACAAAGTACTCACCAGTTTACTGCAAACACTAAACATAAATTCAAACAGCTCATAATTCATCATACTGATGGAATTACATGGAAGGATATGTGGAGGAATTTATCATACCTACCAGTGGTGTATGTTCCTTGATATATTATCTTTCTTTCTAATTATTCATTTATTTATGGAATTCTAAAATAAATACAGTTGCTATGATTTTTACATTCTTATATTATCTTTATTTTAGACCTCTACTTCAGGAGGACGGAAAATAAACTCAGGTCCTAAGAAGGTTCTTAAGGTCAAATGAAAGAAAGGACTCCTGCCCAACAAGATGGTTCATACCTACCTACCTGTATCAGTCCCCAATCCGCCACCACTTTAGTACCTGACTGCAATTACCATGTTATTGTCACCTTCTCTAGGTGTAGAGAGAGACTGCACTTAACATCAAGAATGAGGGTGCTTTGGGGAAGACTAAAAACCAGATGATCACTGTCTCTGAAAGGAAAGGGAGAGGTAATTGGAGATGCTCCTTGTTACAAAATAATGAACTGCAAACCCTAAAACAGAACACTGCACTGAGCAAGAGCAGGGCCGAGATGGAGGGACTTGCCTGTGAACTGAAAGATACGAAATCACCTGGCAGCACAAGGATTCTACAGTGGTTACCCTGCCTGGTTCATGCACAGGCTTCTTCACGTGCTCTCCCATCACAGAGGTCCAGCTAAGTCGAATAAAAAAATACTCGGTGGAACCAAGCACTCTCTTTTAGAGAACTCTAGAGAGGATTAAATCCCTAGGTGGAAAATATAAAAAGCCATGCCTCATTTCTTTCAGAAACTGTTTTAGTAGTAGGGGAGAGTAAAATGAGGAAGAATTTTATGTTTTAATTTTGGTGGCCATACATTGCTGATGGGTTTTGGATTTGCAGTTCTGCATTTAAATGTACATAAAAAGTACAGATGAAATGTATTCACAAAAAATATCAAAACTATTTCCATGGGGACCAAGAGAGCCACCATGCTGGGAAGTCCAGGGGACTCAGTCTGGAGCCTAGAGCTCAGTATAGTGTATCTGCATCCTGGAAATAGATAAGGCCCTCGTATTATCCTTTCTTTTTTTTTTTTCCTTCAAATAACTGCATCTTCCTTTATCATCAACAGCAAAATTTGACCATATAGGTATGGCAACACTATTTTCAACACTATATTTAAATGAACTTTATTTTTGTTCTCAATTTTTGATAGTTAAATTGGATAAATAAAAAAATTAAATAATTAAAGTTATGTTTATTGAATCATCAATAAAAAGAGGTATTATGAAATGAAGATTCCCTCCAAATCTTAGAAACTTTAGAGGCTACCTTGCTCTTTGAAGCCCAGGTGATCTACAATACTTACATGTGACCAGTCATTAATGGTCCTGTCCGACAGACATGGGCAGGAAATACATTTTTGGCAGCTGGGATGGAAACTTAGAATGTTAGTTTCCAAGGGAAAACTTTTATATATAATGGCTACATTTTAAGGCACTTCAGTATATTTTGGATTAAACAAGTTCCTGTTTTCAACAAGCTCTTCTTAAATCTGAACCTGAATATTCCTGTTGTTATAAATTGTGCACACGCACACGCACATATACAAACACACCATGTGTCCTCTTACTATGCATGACATGGCAACATCTCTGTTGTAATAATTTGTATACTTAACTTCTCCCCTTAGAAATGAAACACCTCTCCTCACAGGAACTGCCTTATAAGAGTCTGCATCCTTGAACAGAGTAGATACTCAACAAATATTTGATAAGTGAAAGATGGATATACAGATTTGAACCAATTATCCATTTCTGGAAGCATATGACCAGAATGTTTGAAGCAGAGAGGGGTTACCAGTGGAATTCATTTTGCATTTGTGAGAAAGGGAGAACACAGCAATCAACTGACACCAGGGATGGGGAAACAAGACCAAATAAAAAATGTCCTGGGCAGGGTCTTCTCCAGCACAGAACTGGTGAACAATAAAAACCATTCCTTCCCACCTTTCCACCGAGATTCTGAGTTTCTAAAGTGCTTTCCTACCCATTCTTAGGCATTTGACTCTCACAACAACCCTATGGGAGCAATGACCATCATTTTACAGATGTGGAAACTGAAGCTCAGAGAAAATAGTGATTTGCCTTACTTTACAGAACTGGATCTTGGTCTAGATCAGGAGTTGGCAAGCTTTTTTATGTATAGGGTTAGACAGGAAATAGTTTAGGACTGGTGGCTGTTCCAGTCTCTGTCATGATAACTTTGCCATTACAGCATGAAAAGAGTAATAGACAGTATGTAAACAAATGAGTGTAGTTGTGTTCCAATAAAACTTTATTTAGAAACACAGGCAGTGGACTCAATTTAGGCTCTGGACCATAGTTTGCTGACCCCTTGGTTGAGATCTTTTGATCCAAATCCAGTACCCTTTGCCATAAGCACAGTTACTCCCCCTGAACTAAAATGTCATTGACAACTATTCAGAGGCCCTGAAATACCTGTGAGGGTTTTTTTCAATCACCTAAGAAAAAGTAAATTATCTTTAATAATTTGTGTTAAGCATTTTTATTGTATTCAAACTCTAGGAAGTGTTGTCAGCATAGCTGATTACAGCCCCTCATTTTCCCAGTCACTCTGGATAGAAGTTGTTTTCCCTTGCCTTTGGGGCCCTGGGAGTTATGACAGCAGGATCCAAATGTGACATCCTCATGGCTGGCGGGAGCATCAGAGAATCCATCCCTTCACAGTGCTGGCCGGAAGGAGCCTCAGCATTTTCTGTACTGCCAACCTGCATACCTTGCTTTTTTCATTCTTCAAAGAGCATAATTCTCCAGAAACCTAACAGCTATTTCCCTCATCTGCAAAGCCTCCAAGGGCACAGCCAGATGGGTAGCTGCTGCT